TTTCCGCGCCTTCTTTATAGTTATCTATCTTCGGAGTGAGGCGCTTATATAGCGAATATGTTATTTGTGATCAGCATGCCATATAACTCCCTCCAAGCAAACACATTAATCCAAAATTTTGAGCCCTTTTGTTAGTGAAAATGGAGCACCACAAAAGAAATGAATGAGATAATAAAATAATGTGCTCTTGCCTTGAAAATCATTGTCCTTACTCACTTTTCACTTTTCCCAACATTGATCTCAAAAAGAGGAGAATCCCAGCGATTTCGCGGATCAGGCTTCTCATATCGAGTGATGAGCTCGCTAATGATGTCGTCATTATACCTCGAATTGATTAAAATGAGAGAACAAGTTATATAAATAATTTAAACGCTTACTTCAACCGCTCTTCCTTATGCTGGTTCAGCCATTTGCAGGTCTCTTCAGTCGCGTGGCAATAAAGTACCGCGTAAGTTGTTTTACAAAGCTTGGCAATAAGGAACAATTCATAACGGTATCCTGAAATGTAAAACAATTGGAATTCAACAAAGAATAATAAATAGAACGAGAAATGAAACAACCTTTGATATAATTTAAAGCATCGCATATAACAATTGTATCCTTATTCAAAGATTTTTGAAGTGAAGAACGAACGTATGATCGAAGCTCTTTTTCCTGAAATAAAAAATTCATTTATGCACAATGTCCGTATTTCAGAATCAGAAAACAGTTTGAAATAAAGGCAAATTTCAAGATAAATGTAATTATAGCGAGAAATCGAAAGACAGCAACTTACTTTGGTGGCATTACCATAGTCATCCCTGCTAAGAGTAGGATAATCATCGTCGCAGACGATAACTACCTCCTTCCCCTTTTTGCCGAAGTAATCGTATATTCGTTGAACTATAGTAGTTTTCCCGCATGATGGATACCCTGTGACTAACAGGAGAGGCATACCTATCGGAAATAGATTAAGGCACTTACAAGATGAAGCTATGCTAAGGATGAATACAGAATAAAAAAGAGCATGCGTAGATAAATAATGAGGGAGGCGAGATAAAATTTACATATGTGAAAGTGTTAAAATGGGTATCTGCTCTATTTCCTATCCGTTTTCCAAAGTTGTATAAGCGCATACGCTACTGTAGGTTCATTTCGATGACATTAAGCAGTATATGCAATATATCGCTGTGATAGCTCAAGCATAACTACAAAGCAAAGCATCACAAAAGAAGTACTCTAACCGCAATCTCAAACTTCCTTAACTGTTCGCTAATGCATCAAGCGCGCTAACTTTGCAGCACTAGCTCTGAAAGGTGTTTTAAAAATGTCAAAACATCACTGAGGAAAACTTTCAGTTCACTTAAGCCAGGCAAATTGCCTTGATATAAATTATGAAAAAAAGGTGGAGCGAAAAGGAATGAATTGTAGCATCCGCTCAAAATGCTATACGAAAACATAGTTATTCATTCAGTACACCTGAACATCTAATGCGAGTTAACAGCGGAAATGAGAACCACTATAGTTCTGATTGTCATGTCAAAAAAAAAAAACATGAAAGTTTTTGTCAGACGCTGACACCCTCACCAGAAGTGCCAAAGCAAATTAAGTGGGGAGAGAGAGTCCAAATTTCGATGGAGAGTTCAAAACAAACTGAGAGCAATCGAGTGGGATGGCTACTTTTGCGCATAACATGGGCAAACTTTGAGTGATGAAAGGAAAGCCTTGCTCCTGACTTCTTTCAAAATTCAATAGGCTTACAAAGAAGAGAAAACTTTGTAGAAATTGTGGGCTGGAGTAGCAAGATAGATACGACTTTTACTTCGCAGCCTTCTGGGATTTTGGGCGGCCATGAAGGACGACTGCGGGGAAAGTCTTATTCTGCACACCTTTATAAATACATAAATTTACGTACTTGTCTAGTTTTCAGGATAAATGAAGCTTCGAAAGCATAGTGTAATTCATAAGCTAGTACATTCCTTGTTGCCGAACTACACATGAGACCATTAGCTGGAAAGCTTCTACATTGTCGCAAAATGGACAATTTACTTCCATGCCCTTTATTCTTCACTAGCTTACATACCCGGCTACGCTCGGCTGTTTCAGAGTAGTCAATAGTACTTTGTTATGAAATTTTTTTTTTCTGAAAGGAGTACAGATTAGTTTTAAGATTTCCAGCATAATAGTTCTCTCTTAGCAAACCTAGGCTGAAAAAAAAATAATATC